GCAATCAAATGGATCCTCATATATCTGCGGGGTACCACAAACAAAGCACTTTGTTTCAAAGGTGGAGATACGATATTGACAGGCTATGTAGATGCTGACTTAGTCGGAAATGTCGACATCAGAAGAAGCACTACAGGGTATGTCTATACTCTAGGAGGAATCGCAGTGAGTTTGGTTTCTCAACTACAGAAGATAGTTGCTCTCTCCACAACTGAAGCAGAATATGTCGTTGTTACGGAAGCCAGCAAAGAGATGGTTTGGCTCCAAAGTTTCTTGGAAGAGTTAGGCAAGAAACAAGAAAACAATGTCTTGTATTGCGACAGTCAAAGTGCTATCCATCTAGCAAAGAATCCGTCTTTTCATTCCAGAACGAAGCACATACAATTGCGATATCATTTTATCCGGTCTCTTCTGGAAGATGGGATTTTTAAACTTGAAAAGATCAGTGGAGCTCAAAATCCAGCAGACATGTTAACAAAGACGGTGACTACGGACAAACTGAAGTTGTGTTCAGCTTCAGTTGGCATACTAGAATAAAAAACCAGAAATACTGCTGCATCGATCGAGGTGTGAAGACAGATTGAAATAAGTCTTCAAGTGGGAGATTGTTGGTCAAAGCAGCACATGGGCTGCAAAATTATTAGCAGCCGGCGGCTGCTTGAAAATAATAATAATAGGGGGCTAAATTTTTTATTATTTTGTAATAGGGATAATTACAAAATTGAGTCATTGAACTTTAGGGTATTTACAAAGATTAGTCCCTAAGTTTCAACTATAAATACCCTAGCTCATTTAGCTTCAAAATCATCCCAAAATCTTCTAGTTCTCTCTCAAGTGTGTTGTGTAAACACCTGGAAATTTTCTCTTAGTAAAAGATCTGCAGCAGCCCGGAGACGTAAGCACAATTGGCTGAACTCCGTTATCAATTTCGGGTATTATTTTTCCGCTTTTATTTCGCATTCTCACTAATCTGGTTATAAGGAAATTACTCGTACTCGGTTTATTTCCTAACATTGTGAAGGTCTCGTGACAGTATAATATCTACTATTTTTAATCATTAAATATAAATCTTATATAAAAGAATATAAATAGTTTTATTATAGTTGATAGTTGAATATCGTACCAACATAATAATAATAATAAAGATTATTAAAGGTTTATATTTGTAAATATAATATATTGAACTAAAATAAAGCTATTTTTATAATAAATATTCAGAATATCCGATTAACTCAAATAGCTTTTTAACACATGTGCCTAAAAAATATCTTTTTAACACGTGGGAATAAAAGGTTTAAAATTGTCAGCAAATTCGAGCTGCAAGCATAAAAAGTCAAATTTGAAAGCCGTCTAGGGTTTATGCGGCCGCTATATTACAAACTTCTTAAATTTCCACGAAAACCCCAAGGGAAGTCGTTCTATGTCGGAGATGCAGAATGCTTGACTAAGTTTTAATTTCACTAATTGCCGCGTATCATGCGTGCATAAAGTGCATATTAACATTAATTATCACTAAATTATCATTAAGTAATCCAATATGAAATGGGATACGAGATTTCGATAAAGAAAAAAGACCGAGTCTTTGCTCGTACGGTACTATAAGAACACCAGCATATATGTTGTTCTGTTGCAATTGCATATACGTCGTTTTCCCTTCTACGTGAGCGGCTAGAAACCGATACCACATTGGAAAGAACCATGACGGATCCAACACTATTATCGAAATCCAGCCGGAATTTGATCGAACGAGAACGGAGATCGGAAATGAGATCGCTCCTTTCGACGCTCGTCAGTCTTCTTCCTCCTCGCCCTAAAAAGGTACCATTACCCGACTGTGCTGTGATCGTATATTTGCTCGGTTTTCCGTATAATCGGTTACGCCATCGATGAATGTTGTTGCAGATGCCAACGCCCGAGCTGGTGAAGAATGCCACGGTCTACGTGAAACAACTGCAAGAACGTGTGGAGGAATTCAACCGAAGGAAAGTGAAACAACAATATCACCGGTTCTCGAAATAACGGAATCGGAATCGGAATCGGAATCCACGATGGAAGTCGATTTGATCGCGACGACAACGTCGGCGTTATGCGACATCATCACTACCCTTCAGGAAGAAGGAGCCGAAGTTGTGAGCGTTACGTATCAAAAGGATGGCAATAGGATCATTCTTTCAGTTCATTCTCAGGTACAAAGTAAAGACATTGATCGATTTGGTTATTTATATGAAAATGTATTGGAATGTAATTTGATTGGATTTATTTTTTTTGCAGGCTGCTTATTCTAGAATTGGGATTGAAAATCTCAGAGTGCGTGAGAGGTTGAAAAGACTGCAGATGTCGTGAGAGTTTCTTTAGCTACTGCAAATTAAACCCTAAAAGATGAAGATTAAAGCTGCATGTTTGTAGATGTGCATTGGACCAGACACAAGATTTTATGTTAGGGATGAACTTGAACTTATAAAATTTCAAGAGAAGAATTTGAATTTATAAGATTCTAGAGGGACAAAAATAAATTTTCAATAGAAAATACATAAATAAAATATAAAATATATGATAATTTTAAATTTTCAAGTACTCTCACCTAGATCCCTCCCTCCCTAGATGTTCATGCCATTATTTTCTACTACTACTAATAATAAACTCTACTTTTTGAATGTAAACTTGAATCTATTTTTTTAAGAGTTTGAGGGTTTATAATAATGTTTGATTCATCTTGCGGTAATTTAAATATGTTAAAAAAACTCGCGATATTAGAGTTGTTATTAATCGTTTTGAATTAAATACGATCATATATTTATAAATATAGACACCAAAATTATCATCGGAGTCCAGAGTCAATTACGTACGAAAAATATTCAGCCACTCTCGTAACATCCAGAGTTGATATTTAAAGGAGTACGATATCTAAATAAAGACTTCGAAGATATAGTTAATAGCAATTTCAACAACCATGAACAATTATGACAGTAATGATGCATAAATAATGAATCTATACCAAACCTAAATTGTAAATTAAAGAAATTATATATTTTTTTTAAATTTATAAAACATCAATTAATATATAATAAAATTATACTTCAACTTTTTAAAATTATAAAATTGAACTTTAATCCTTTTAAAAAATTATAAACTACAATATAAAACTGTGATATAATTATATATAAACTTTCATAAAATTTATAATTCAAATTCAACACAAAAAATATTTCTAACTTTGTCATTGTTAACAATATTATGATGGAATATTATTTCTTTTAAAATCCTTTTTTCACTAAATTCAGAAATTTAATAATTAATTTTTTGTTTAAATATTATAATATTTCTTTTTTTTTTCAAGAATTAGAATTTTTAAAAAAATATATAATTTCATTAAAATCTCTAATTTCATCTAAAATCCATGGCGTTGGGCTGACTGTATAAAGTTAATGAAACGACGTCACTTACCTGCTTTTTAGCTTTCGAATTTGCATAATTCAAATGGGACGGCTCCACCACACGACCGTTGCCACAACGTTCCAAATTTTCCAAAATTTTTAAAAGAACCCTTTTGCTTTCCACGGTTTGCAAAACCATCCCCCGCCTTCTCTTTTCATGCACTGAATTTCAAATTATGGCAAATTGGAACCTGGGATTCTGCTGAAGTTCATTAATGGGATGAACACCAGAGTGAAACCGACCGGCAAATATCGAAGCTCACTTTGCAGGTCACCGGAGATTCTCTCTGGCCTAAACATGGATTCTACATCAAGGTCACGGATTCTTCTCATTTGATTTACGTTAGTCTTCCTTCTGACTAAGATGATTTTGTTCTTAGTAACAAAAAGAAACTTGGAGAGTTCATTTATGTTGATAGTTTTGAGCCTGGTTCCCCTGTTCCAGTCGTTAAGGGTGCAAATCCTTTTCTCGGAAGACACCCCATTGTCGGAACTCCAGAGCCTTTAATGTGGTTTAAAAGGAAGGAGGAAAAAGTTGAGCAGAAACATAGAAAATGTTCTTGGGGAAGGTGGCCTAATGGGAGTTTGAGCGGCGAGATTTCTTCTCCTTTGGCTCCAAATCCGGTTCCGTTGGATTTCGATCAATGTACTCCGCTGAAACAACGGTTTAATTCGGTGAGAAATCCGATAATGTCTCCGATTATAAGAAGGGTAGGGAAAGATGGGAATGCTAGTGTTAATGCAAGTGTAAGGTATTAGACTGCTTCGAAGTTTCAACGGAGCAAAAGCGTCTGCTATCGACAGCTACGGATTCTGATCAGTCCTCTCAACTCATCTGTAGGTACATTGTTCCCCTTTTCAATGATCGATGTTCATTTAATTGTTTTCATCATTCTCTCAATTTTATGTTAACTGATTCTTCGTTTGCTTGCAGGACAAGAAAAGTTCATCCCACCACCCTGTTTATGCCGAGCTGCTTCCCTATATGGGTGAAGATGTACTACGATCTTGCATGAAATTGCGCACTACTCCATGGATAAAATCCGGGAACCAGAGTTATTAAGTTCATCAAAAAGGCGAGCTGCGTTACACAAGTCTATTGTAGCCTTTTCCGAGCCGAAAACGAACTCGAATAAGGTCCAAAGATCAAATCCTAACCCCAAAGCAACTCCCCTTGCATTGCTTCCCCATGAAGCTATTGGCGAGAATGACGAAAACACAACCATTATCGAGCAGCTTAAGCAACACATTAGCATTGGGGAAGCAGATAGAAACTGAAGCAGGGAATTGGTTCAGTCATTGATATTTAAGGTTAATAATTGGGTAGAGGTAGAACAGAGTGATGGTAACAAGCGACCAGTTCATCCTAAAGCGACACAAATAGCTAGGAAGTTAAGGATTACGGTGAAGAATCCTTGAATTGGTCATTTTTTTAATAAAAAGAATATTATAATGTACAAGACTTTATGTAATATTATTCATGCATTAATTGGTTGTTTCACTTACCTATATTAATTTGCCTCTCCGTATTAGCTGACTCTATTCCCATATGTAATGGGGTAAGGGGGAGGTAGGGTAGTAGGCTGCCCCAACGTCAGGTTGAGATCAGCTTCCGCGGAAAACCTCCGTTATGAATTACCCTCAATGGGACTCGATCTCACGACCACAAGGTTAAGAGCCTTGTGCTCTACCAACTGAGCTAGACGGGCAAGACTTGCCTCTCCGTATGATTGGGTATAATTGAACTGAGGCCTGGAATCTTTTGAAACCCCTTGTTCACCATTGCCATCCTCATTTTTTCAGCCTTTTCCCATCTATCTGAAGCTGCATAGATATTTGACAGCAGCACATGATGTGAATTATCCCCAGAATCCAAATCATTATCCGTTCCAACGACTTCTTGCATCACTTGTTCTAACACGTTATTGTCCACATGAATCTTGCAAGCACCGAGCAGAGCCCCCCAAACTACATCATTCGGCTTCATCGGCATTCTCTTGACAAGGCCGAAAGCTTCTTTCAATCTTCCGGCACGCCCCAGAAGGTCGACTAAGCAACCGTAATGTTTGATGCTTGCTAAAATGCCGTAAGTCTCCATCTTGGAGAAAATTTCCAGCCCTTCATCTACACACCCGCCGTGGGAGCAAGCTGATAGAACCGAAAGGAAAGTGATGGCATCCGGCATCTCATTCAACTCTTCCATTCTTTTGAAAAACTCTAGAGCTTCTCTGCACTTTCCATGAATGGCAAATCCCGATAACATGGAATTCCAGCAGGCGGTTTTCCGGTGACTTATTCGTTCGAAGATCAACCTCGCTTGGCCTAAATCGCCGCATTTGGCATACATATCCAATAATGCATTTGAAACGAACTGGTTAGCCTTCATTCCCTTCGTCTTAATACGATAATGGATTTCTTTTCCAACATCTAATTCACCTAACTGTGCACAAGCAGATAAAACACTTGTGATGGTAACTTCATCGGGTTCGAAACCTTCGTTCTGCATTTTCCTGAACATTGCCAAAGCTTCCTCACAGAAGCCATTCTGTGCATACCCTGAAATCATGGAATTCCAATTAACCGAGTTTCTAACAGGGATTCGATCGAAAAATTCCCTAGCTTCCTTAACATCACCCCTCTTACAAAACCCAGAAATCATTGATGACCAAACAAAGTAATTCCTTTCTGGCATCATTTCAAAGATCTCCCTTGCAGCTTCTAGTTCTCCATTTGCATTGTACCCGTCAACCATCACCGTCCAAGTCACCACGTTACTTAACTCTAATGGTACTCTATCGAATAATTGTCTTGCTCTTAAAGTGTCTCCACTCTTTGCAAACCCATCGATCATCTCTATCCAAGTCACTGAATTTCTTCCCATGGGCATCTTTTCAAACAAATTCAATGCAGATTCTCTATCCCCGTTTTTCAAATACCCACCGATCATCGCGTTCCATGCCACCACATTTCTCTCGGGCATTTCATCAAACACCTTCCGGGAATCAATCAAATTGCTGCATCTCGAATACATGCTAATCAATGACGAGGAGATATGTAAATCGGCGGATACCCCAAATTTAATTGACTCGGCATGCAAAGATTTTCCATAAGTTTGGGCTGAAGCAGAAGCAGAAGCAGAAGCACATGCCTTGAATATCAAAGGAACAAGGCCTAAAATGTAGAGTCCCTGTTGGCGTATTTGGGTGTGTAAAGAAAGCACCTGATCGGGATTTCCTTCAGAAAGGTGGTTTCTTATGATGAAAGACCAACTGGGTTGATTTTGGTTTGAACTGGTCTTGGCTATATTTTCCACAATTCTAATGGCTTGTTGTGGGTTTTGAGGCAATTTTGTTCTTCTCATGTCTCATAGTTCAAATTTTTTAGAAAATGCTCAACTGTGGATGTATTGATGATATCTTTGACAATCCGGGTACATGACTAAAGTCATGGCCACAAGTAAAGAAGACAAAGTTGAATCCATTCAGTTGGGAATTTCACCATTAGAAATAGGCTCATCGGCCACACGTACGGTAATTGATGAGTCCCAATCAGGGTGAAGAAGATGAGGCTTGTTGATGGTAACATTTAAATTGAGGCATATATAAACGATTTATCCCTTCTAATTTAAACGGAAAAATAACTTGCGGAAATCATCGCAGCGCAGTCGCTTGCCTATAATTTCATTATGAATTATCGATTGCTGATCAGAAAAAATGAAGCACCAAAACAATAGCCTCAAGCTTCTCTTTCAACATAATTTTAGAGGAAGCCGTGTCCATTCCTATAAATTTGCCTATCTTGAACCGTGTGTTCTTTTTTCTTAATCTGATACTTGGTTTAGCTACGGCTGAAGAATATTCAGTCAATGCATTTCATCAAAAATTCGGCTACATTCGAATCATCCTTTACTTTCTCTCTAGCATTAATCATCTGTTTTTATTACATCCGATCCCCCACAAAACTTTAAAGAAATTTTTGATAAGTTCAGCTACCATAAAGTCAAAATTCATTCAATGAAAAGAATGATATTTGTATCAGAGATTTAAATAACACTCTCGGTCGTGTTTTCAGTCGCGTCGTGTTTATTGCGATTGCGGACATAACAGATACCATCGCGGTCACTGCAGGTGCTGCTGTCATGAATTATTTTAAATTTCACACAACTTATCATAAAACATAATAATTATAATTATAAGGAGTCATTTTTAATGACTTTTAGAATGTTTTCTAAGCTAAAAGGACATATATAATATAATTTAATCATATAAAAGACTTTAAAATTATTATAATAGGATAAGATAATTAATTCATAATAACATTGTGAACACATAATTATTTAAATTATTGAAATTAAGATTAAATTAAACAAAAATTAATTTTACGTTCTAAACTATATATTAAATTATAAATTTTAAAAAGTAAAAAGATGAAAAATTAATATATTTCTTAAAAATATATTTTATAATTTACTTTAAAAAAAATAGGTCCAAAATGTTTTGTTTTAAGTCTAATAAACCCTAAAATAATTTAATCCTAAACTATATCCCAACCCAAGACGCTCTCTCCTTTCTTCAACAATCTTAAGCTCCGACAAAGATTCCTTTTTTCGATTACAGTGAATTTCACTCCGACGAAACCCACAAAACAAATTCATTCTTCCTTTTTACTTTGCCATTTTCTTTTTCCTTTTGAATCTCAACGTGCACATACAAAAAACATAAATTTAGAAAGAAATAAAAAAATACAAGTTTGGTGACGATGAACACAAAAAAATCATCTTTCCTTAAGTTTTTTTTTGCAGTAACGGTTGGAATAACGGTGATTACGTCCCGTTATCGGCGCAATCGTCTATTTCCCGTTAAATTTCGGGCGCAATCAACAGCGATCGGTGTGAATCCATGACCCACCGCAAAAACCATGAATAGCGGTTTCGGACGGTGACGCGACCGCAATATCGCGGCCGCTATAGCGTTTTCGGAACGCTATTTGATACCCTGATTTGTGTAACCTTCTCCCATCGTAAAAATGTGAATGTAGAAATAATTCACCTGGTAAAATGTAACCACCACTAAAAATCATTGAGAACTATATCTAGCATTATATTACATTCAACTGGAATCTCCACAAGTGTATGCACACGCAGCAATCAAATTTACAAGAGGAAAGGACCTTAATGGCATGTTAAACCATTTAACATTACCATATCAGCTAATAAAAGACTTTGATATTAAGGACCAATACGAACAAGCAAATATACAAGGTAGACCAGCAAATTGATGCTTACCTTCGGATAATTGCAGATAATCCATCACTTAAGATGATCATCAAAGTAGTTGCTGCAGGTTGTATGAGCATCCTAGCCAGCATCAACAAATAGTACTAGACAAGACCAACATAAAAGTAATACTAACACCTTCCAAAATCAGCTACAATGTTAGAAAAGATCAAAGCTAGATCAAGCTCTTTGTTGAAGACGGGCTACTATGGAGGGGTCTTGCACAATTCAGTTTTGGGCTGAATATGAAGCAGTCATAGATCATAGAAGTAGATGATGAAGTGCAGAGAAGCTAACAGTAGACCATTTACTGGCTTCATCGTCTTAAAAAAAAATAGAAGCTTTGTTGAAGATGCATATACCACAAACAAGGTTGCAACCAACACTGTTACTATTAGCGAATTCAACATGCAACTCAAGCTTCTACAACATGCAGGAGCAACGACCAGTAGAAGAGGTGGTGCAGAGAAGCAATAGTGAGGAAACCATGTGCACTAAGATGCAGTAAAGGGGCGAAAGGAAGCTGGTTTACTTCAAAATCACAAATCAAACAAACATAAAAATCCTTTAGAATCATCAATCACAAAAAAACACTTACCATAATAACTAAGTTAACATATGAAGGTAACAGATAAATAGAAGTAGATAACAATATGAAGAAAGGGACTTCCCAGTTCCATATGCTGCTTAAAGCAAGCCATCATAGAAAGGTGTCCAAGGCACCCGTTTTGGAGGCTGAAACACTTTGTAGAGTGGAAGCCATGCAAAACCACAAGTTCTAACGAGGCCCTATTGTCACAAAACAAGCATAACATAAATCTCTTTTGCTCACAGAAGCTCCTAAAACATTATTACATAATCTTTTCCATAGATCTATTCCAGAATTGCTCAGATAAGGTCCTGTTTTAATCTCTGCAAAAGAATTTAAACAAAGCATGTCAAATACGGAACTACATTGCAAGTATAAAAAATAAGATCAAATGTGGTTCAAGTAATTTGGTAGGGCATGACATACCCATTAGCATAAGGTGAATCACGACGAGCATGACGATATGGAGGTGACCTGCTGATGCTGCGACCACGATGAGGTGAGATGCTGCGGTGCCGAGGAGATCTTTTCCCATGTGGACTGTCGCCCCTGGCACATAATATAGAAGTTTTATTAGCAAGTAAAAGTAGTAAGTACATTTTGTAAGTAATCTGCGCACACTTGTTCAGGTGACAATCATAACAATCCAAACACACACAAAGGAAAAATAGTAAAAAGACCAAGGCACAAGTGCAACTCAAGTTTTCCTCAATTATAAAACCAAGAAAATATATATATCTATACATCCTAAATTCATTAACGAATATTCTTACTGATAACCAATCAAGGGGGAAAAGGCTTCGCTTAGCAAAAGAAAAGGCATAACATGTATTGTACCATTGCATTGTACAGGCAGCTTTGCAAACCTGATTCAGCAGAAACTATCCTCCTACAGCCTCAAATGTAATTAGTGTATGTAAGTAAGAACCATTAAACACACCTGCGTCCATATCCATAACTTGGACTCCTACGGCGACGAGGACTGGGGCTTCGCCTACGCCCATTCCCCAGGCCCCGTGAACCGCGCGAGCGACATTCACGAGCAAAGTGACCAGGTTCACCACACTCATAACACTTCAAATCCTCACCGCCACCACGACGCCCACCACCACGGCCTCCACCACCTTTAGAATTGTGAGAAAGTTCCACACGCCAGCCATTCTTGCCTTCAAGGAGAAAATTAAAAACAGTAAACAAAAGTAAGCAAACTCAAAGTCAGTAAAACAGGATGGATCAGAAATCCATCATTGATTTTAATTTTTAAGAAGCACATAACAAAAGGGCAGAGTCAAACAATAGAGACTGAAACAACTAGTAAACAATTCCCAGCTTGTTAAGAAGAATCATATAAGAAATCTCTCTTAACATGCATATCAAAGCTTGATTGTTAATGGATTTAAAGCATATGCACAACATAAAGAGAGGGAAAACAGATATAATCAAGCAAAAACCAAATGCAGCAAATGGATGAATTGAACATGAAAAACACCGTGGTTCATAGTAAAAATGGGAACAAAAGAAGTATGCTCACCATCCAATTCACGAATTGCATCCAGAGCATCCCTGCGGTCATCAAACTCGATAAATGCATATCCTGGTGGCCTTCTAGCTACCCAGACACTGAATTCATTCCATCAAAACTAATCAATCAAACAATATATATACATGCATATTAAAACAATTCGTAAACTTGATTTGAATGTCACAAGAAAAAAAACGAAAGCTACACTGCTTCCACTAAAACACAATTATTTAGGTCACCATCAAAATAATTTTTTTTTCATTTAGAAAAATAAAAGTATATTTACTTGCGGAGAACGCCGAAAATCCTAAACTCGTCTTCGAGATCCCTCTCAGTAACCCGAGGGTCCAAATTCCCGACATAAACTCGAGACATTCCCGAAAAATCACTGCACAACATAAATAATAGCATCAACAAATAAGTAAAAAAATCCTTAAAAATGAAACAAGAAATAGAAAACCCTAGGAATATTATCGTTACAAAGAGGTCAGAGAAAAATTAGGGGCTTTTGTAGGAGACGATCGAAGGAATATATGCAGTTGAGGGAGAAAATATGATTAGGAGTTGCCTTGAGATGTTTATTGGGCGTTTTTACGATGAGGGATAGATGGAGACAGTAAAAATTGAAGTGGACGATCGATTAATTTGGCACTGCTGCACCCAATTTCAAAGCGTTGGATACTAATTAGAAACCCTAGAACATGAAACTGTAAATTGATTTTTGGTTTTAAAGGGCAAAACAATGTAGCGTGTAAAAAGGCCTGGGTCTAGGAATCGGAACGGGTCGGATCTACCTAATATATGGCCTTTAGCTTTGTTGGATCGGGTCGAACGATCTCTATTGAGGCAAAATTGACTCAATAGGGTAGACGAATAAAAATATTAGCATAGTAGATCATTTTTAAAATTAATTTAAGATCTAAAATAAATATTATAGTGCAGGAGATACACGTCACGTCCACATGATACACGATAAGTTTTAATAAAATATAATTTTTATTAAAATTTATGGGATAAAAATTTTAAATAAAAATATTTTATTACAATTAATCATATTGATGTGATGAGTTTCAAGTTACTATAACAAATATCGTATATCTTTAAATAATTTACTTTGTACCGCATTTGACTAAATAATTAGCTCGCTTATGATGTTGAACCAATTTTATCCTCTATTAAGGTACTCAAATCCATGCTCTTTAAGACTGCATGCTTTTCCGTCATAAAGAATAATTTTAAGTTTTATAAAATTAAATATTAAAATTTTCCTATCTATTAACGGGATTGATTTAAGTGGTAAACAACTTAATATTGCTTAAACAAGTATCGAGTTCGAGTCTTTCTGTATGTAGAAAATCTCCATTGAGAGACTCACCTACCAAAACTAGATATACAACTTGAATCAATCCGAATTAATCAAGACGAAACTTTAAAAACCGAGAGAGAGAGAAAATACGCTTTATACTACGAAGGGAGGAATGAAGAGTAAAGGGTAGCTGTTATACTTCAGAGGATTATTGAACCATCTAACATTCCAAAAGCAAACACTAATGTTACAGGAGCTGAAGAGGAACCTCATGCCTTAACAGTAACCATAGCCTCATTAAAATCCCAACTGTTTCTTCTTTTTACTTTTAATCCCATTCAGCAGAGTAGCAACACCGAGAGACGCAGCTCTATGCTTCCTCCCAACCCCCTCAGCAACATTTTCAGGACCCAAACCAGCAAGAACCTCAAACTTGTTCTTGGAAGTTGGAATTAGTATACCTTTTCCAGTTTGTCACCAAGCAATCGGCCCAAGCCAAGAAACTAGTTTTGGGTTGGGACTACGGTTCAGTTTGTCACCACACTAACCTTTTTCAATCCTAATATATTTACATTGTTTCTAAAACATCTCCTGTTTAGATATCTTCGACAATTATTTTACGATTTATATTCAATTTTAGAATTATTAGACAAAATAAAATATTATTTTTTTGATCTAAAAATGTTGGATTTGATCAATTGAACTGCATGGTGTGCGCGTTCAAAATTATTAATAAAATTATTTTAAAATATACAACTTTATTTTTTTTAGAATGTTTTGCGTTTTATTATTATTATTACTTTCATCGACGAACACAAGATTTTAGGTTAAAAATATTAAATTTTAAAAAGTTATATTAAAAATCTATTAAAAATCTATTAGGAAGTTATATTCAAAATTTAAAGATAAAAAATTATAAAATTTTACAAGTATAAAATTAAACTATTAATAACAAAATATATATATAAAAAACCTAAAAGTATATGCCTCAAAAAGTGTTAGGATTCACTTACACTAAGTAAAAGTAATAAGTTTTCCATTAATTTATAGTCATTATATTTAAATAAATAAATAAATGACTTGGATTTAATTAAAATTTATGACTCATAAATAAATATTTCTTTAACTCACAATAAAATAATATTTTTCTTTTTAAGGTTAGGGTTAGAATTCAGGGTTTAATATTTAGGCTTTAAGGTTTAAAGTCTAAGTTTAGGGTTTATGATTTAAGTTTTAAGATTTAGATTTGAGATTTCGAAAAAAAGAGAGAGTGTTTTACTTATTACAAATTTTAAGGTTTATGAGTTATAACTTTTAATTAAATTTTAATTATTTATTTAAATTTAATAATTATAAATCAATGTAAAACTTATTAGTTTTACGTAATATGTAAGCCGATCTTGTCATATAAAATTTATTAGCTTTTGAACAAGAATCATCGTCAACACCCTTCCATAATCCATCAATCTCTTGCCCTATAAATGTGACAATTATCTTAAAATAATAAATACCTAATATTCCACTAAAAACCTATCGAGTATAAAATGTAATTAATTAAGAATATATTATACCAAGACCACATATAATAGAATAAACCCTAACCAAATTTGAGATTAACTAATATAAATAACCAAAAAACAATACATCGAGATAGATTACATCACCATCACACCCAACTTTGTGTTAGTTTGAATTGGCATGACACATTAATTAATTATGGTCCTACATCTTTATATACCCATTCATTTAATTCATTCCTCGTGTGGGTAGCATATTAATCAACAAATTAAAAAATATATATATCCATTGATGTGGTTTCATGCTTTGGATTATAAAAATTATGTGTGGTCTTAATTAGCATGCATGCTTGGTGGTGAATGTGTCACGTTCCATGCGCACCGTTTTGTTAATTGATTAGGTCAAACTACAATTTGCAAACTATCTTTTTCATATACTTATTTATTCATTATCTCGACTACATTATTATTATAATGCGAACAAAATTTTGGGTTTTAAATAATTAATTTTAATTTAAATAATAGACAAAAAGATATTAGAGGCCTTTATATTTTTGAAAAAATTAATGTGGCTCTCGTATTATTTTTTCTCTTAAGTGGTCCTCCAACTTAGAAAACAAACCCAACGTGTTTGATCAACGATTTTTGTCGTTGAGCATTACGACATCGAAGTGGCAGTCAACAGTGATGACGTGGCAATCCATCTGTCATGTTTTAGTTGCCAATTTAGCTCATCCGTCACATTATCAACCACTATGGATTGTCACGTAAGTAGCGTAAACTGTCACGTCAATACCATAAACTATCACATCAGCACCATAACAATCAATGATAAAAAAACATTGGTCAAAACATTATATTAAATTTATTTTTGAATTGAAAATTTACTTTAAAAGAAAAAATAATATGAGAATTATATTACTTTTTTTAAAAAATTTATAAAAAACCTTTAGTCTCTTTTTGTCTAAATAATATTATATTGAACTGGTTTTTCGTTTAATTTTGGAAGGTCAAATTCTTGAATTATATGTGACATTTAATATTATCTGTAGAGGATGGCCTAAAAAGGATCAGGCCACCAAAATTAAAGAAAGGGTCACCTTCGTACATAGCTATCCGAGTACTGTACAAGTATTATTTTATTTTTCAAAGAAAAATTTATTTCTATTATATATATTCTAAATTTAGTGAGTCTCGTTAAAAACATCTCCTACTCAATACCAAAGTGTTGGACCTATGAGGGAAAAAGAGTACCCCGAACTATATTGATCAAATAAACGTTACATCGTGGACAACTTCCGTAAAAATAATCTATTGGCAAACTGAGTCAAAATATAAATACCTCAAAGATTGAATGACCCATTTAGCCAAACTATCTGTAACAATATTATAGGATCTTTGAATTAAAGTAATATAGAAACCCTTTAGCCTGTCGAATATGTAACTTCAAAGTAGAGATGTACTTCTCATCACAGAGTAATTTGTTAACTAAGTTAGCATAATCAGATTCAAAGTGTACATTATCCCATTGCCTTCGATAACAAGATCCAGGACAGCTACAGAAGCATTGAACTCAACCAAAGTAGGGTCAAGAGCACCTTGCATTGATTGAGAAAGCCCTGCAGAAGAGCTATTATCCCCACAGCAGCAGACCCCCACAAATAATCCAGAGAGCCATCAAATTGAACTTCACAACACCAACAGAAGGGAGTTGCCAACGAAAAGAGGAAGCCGCAAGAACCAATTCTTCCAAGCTAGAGATCTCGACAGCTCTATGTACCTGGCCACGAGATCGAGAGACCTCCTATATAATATATATATATTGATATTTTATAATTATATACAAAAATCTTGATTTTAGTTTATTTTTTATAGTTTACTAATAATGTAAAAATCTTGAGACTATTTTAAGTTTACTATTTGTAAATAATAAAAATTGAAGTTTTTTTATTAATAAAATTTGAAGTTTGTCTATTTCAAAGCTGCTTGGGACGTCGTGGGTGATGATGTAGTGGCTGCGATTCTCTATTTCTTTGAGCACTTTACATTTTTGTCTGCTTTTAACGTGACTACGGTTGTGCTTGCTCCAAATGTATCCAATCCGGGTCATATGAGGGGGTTTAGGCCTTATATCATGCTGTAATGTTGTGTATAAGTGCATTACTCGCATCATCGTGAATCGTTTAAAGGGGGTGCTTCCTGGTTTGGTGTCCGCTAGCCAGAGTGCTTTCATCTCGGGCAGAAATATTATTGACAACACACTTAGGGCTCAAGAGCTTGTGAGGGATTATGGGCGTTCGTCTCACTCGCCTCGTTGCGCGATTAAGGTAGATCTCCAGAAAGCTTTCCACTCTTTAGTGTTGCGGAATACGGCTATCGGATAGAGTAAAATTACAACTGATAATTTGAGAAAATAAAAATAAAGATAAAAAAGACACAAATTTTACGTGGAAAACCCCTAAATAATATAGAGTAAAAACCACAGGCAACGGTAGAAGAATTTCACTATGAGAAAATAGGAATTACAACTTCTCTCGATCTACCAAGGAGAAAACAATGACAATTCTCTCTTGATTAAAAGGAGAAAACAATTGTCAAGAAAACTCTCTAAATTCTCTAGTATTGGGAGAAAGCTAGAATAATTTGGGATGATTTTGAAGTTAAATGGGTTAGGGTATTTATTGTTGAAGCTTAAGGACTAATCTTGTAAATATCCTAAAGTAAAATGATTAAATGTGCAATTTTACCATCCATGAAATTCAACAATTTCATTCTGGTTGGCACCGAAAGTTAGCACCTAAATGTTTGGCCAACTTTGCATGACTTTTCAACATGTTTGACAGCAAACTTTGCTTAACTTTTCAACAATCTCCCACTTGAAGATTTGATTGGAACAATCATATCTTC